TCGAAACTTGATCAGTTCAGGAAATATACCTTCACCGAGCCGCAGATGTTGTAGCATGTACCTAACATAGGCAATACTTGATTAAATAGTTGACAGACAGATAGTCTCAAGAATTGTCTTGTGAAAATGGTCAGGTAGTGGGATGAAAATTTTCGACAAAGGTTTGAAATGACATGAACACGTTTCGTTCTCACCTCAGGTGAGGGACAAATTGAAATTTAGTCCTTCTTCAGTAGGTATATTTATTTTAACAATATGTGAAACTTTGACTATTCGTGAACAGTGACTACTCTTTCACTACTTTCACTAATCTGTTAATTTTTTGTTGGTTTTAGAGGACATTACACATTCATACTGATGTCTGTTGCACCACTTCTCCCTTTTTGCCTCAAAAAGGTCTAGTAAGCAGACTCAAAATTATTTGTTTTATTAAGTTCGTATGGGACAGGAGTTTTTTGTGTTTTACCTGTTCATATCTTTGGACGTATATAATTCCAATATGTTATTTATTTTATTTATTTATGTTATTTCAATATGTTATACATTCTTTTGGAGCTTTTCTGATTGGTTTGGTAAAGGTGGTGGGCATAAAATTGATAATTGTTGATATTGGAAGCAAATAGTTAGATTCAAAATTAGTAAATGGTACGGCTAGCCGGAGCAGCTGATGTTCACAGCACACGGGATTTTGCCAGATAATGTTTTCAGCATTCTTCAAACTTACTTGTTAAAGGCAAAGAAATGTGAGCTGTAGAACAGGGTGTCGATAAGTTGGAAAATGGGAAGCTTATCGTAGCAACTCCGCCTTTGCCAGCATTTCTATAACGCTCTCCAATGTTCGCTCGCTCTCTCTATTTCTCGCCGTTGCCGCACAAAATCTTAATCAGCTTTCTAAAAAATTTCATAGGCTAGGGAATGACGAAAGGATTTTCGAGAACAGCTTCATGTAGCACGAGGAACATTCAAACCATTAGATCGCATACTCGCCGAGCTCCTTTTGCTACTCAATTTTCTTCCAGAAATTGACTCAGAAAATACTTCCAATAAACGAAGTGCGGACATTTCAACACACGATAAGTCCTTATCTTTGTTCTAGAAAGTTGGCATTGGCAAATGATCAATCACAGAGTGTGATAAAAGTTTTATGGTTCAAACTCATCTTTTTTGTCTACTAATGTGTCGTTATGAGAATATTCATTATGCTTCGAAGAATCAGAAACACTTGCCGTAATTTTTTTAATAATTTCCAATTTGCAACTTCTCGATAGTAGGGAACTTTGGTCCTCAGAGGGTCGAAGATGGCAATAATGGAAGAAAAGTTCATTATCTGATTGCATAATCGTGTTCATTCCCGCACATTATGTTTGTACTTGAATCTGAAAAGCATGAAATGGAGGTATAGGTCTGCTATCTTGCTTGTAATGATACGCACGTTAAACTTCGACTTTATGCCGCATAAGCCTAGAGTAGTTATGATTTCAATGCAAATTCTTCTAATTTCCCTTCTAATTTTTAAAGTGAAAAGTTTTTGACAGTTTCAGCTGTTAAGCGCAAGACCACTTTTCTTTATGGAAGAAATGAAGAATTAGCACAAGTGTGTTTCCCGAATAGAATAACAGTTTTCATAAAAACAGCACCTCCCTTCGCCGCGTGTAGTCAAGCCATAGATGTATTAGCTAGATATATATTACAGATTTTCTGTATCTCTACTTTCCTCAATTTTTAAAACTCTGATCAAATTAGAATACAGGATTTGAGAGAATTCCGTTCTCCTGCTCTGTGAAATGCACTAACCGTGTTTCCAAATCTTTAAAATTGGTTTCAAGTTTCGAGCATAGAACGAGATACAAGTCGAAAATGATTCAATACCTAAATTTTTCCTATAATTCTCCTACTTTTGTCTGATTGTATTATGATATTATGATGCTCGTCACTCTTTACGTTTGTTCACCTTTCCAGTTCTCTTACAACTTAACGACAGAAATCGCTGGATTGAACAAAGGGCTTTTTGAATTTTCGACTACTCAAAAATCAGAGTGGGTGCATTTTCTCAGATATTCAATTTATTGGAAATGCTCAAATATCTTACTCGGGCACAAATATTCGGTCTCAGCTATACTACCCACCATATAACTAACATGCCCAAGAGTCTGCTCCAAGGCTTTAGTGCGCGCACAGGAGATTTGAAAGTAATACTAATAATTCCCTTAATTCATTTTCCATGGTCGATGGACCGCCTCAATTCGCTAAGAATATGCGCAACAAAGAGATTGCGGATTGCGCGCAAAATCGTTGAATACCTAGAAAACAGATGGAAATTTCCGTACCTTTCTGCAATTTAGGAGACTAAAGCACTTTCACCCTTC